TCATTTTTATTATCCGTTAGGTTTCCTAAGCATAATAGTTCATTCAGGAAATTCTGGCACACTTATTATAGAAGCAGAGTGTAGAATCATTCACTCTCCAATTCCAGTTCTTATCCTTTCTTCTCTAATTCAAACCCCATGCAAAGCTACTGGCACTCATATCCTTTAAAATATGATAGACTAGATTTGTTTACATTTAAAAATGGTAGTAACTTCACAAATATTTGCTCTTCTAAAAAAGCTAAATCTAAATTATTTTCTGTGACTCGAATTCTTCTTAAGGGTTCAGGTTGTGGGTTTTAGTAAGTGATGGTTAAAGGATACCAAAAATAATCAAGAAAAAAATTAGTGACAAAATAAATAAACACACACTGTCATTTAGAGATTGCTATTACATGCCAGTCATTGTGTTAAGTACTTTTTATGGATTAATGTAGTTTACAAATGATTCTGTGCTTATTTATTATCTCATTTGATGGTGTATGATTATAGCAGAGGAAATGCAATCCTGTTTTCTTTCTGCCACTCCCTGTGGAAACTAGTTGTGCTCTGTATTGATCCTTATTTGCGTGTGACGGGACACTGCCCTCTGAAAGAGAGCACAAGGTCTTGGAAGGTGGGTGGTGCCATACATTGAACGTGTTTCTCCATCCATCAGGGCAACTCGTTTCAGCTCTATGAATATAGTAAATACTTAAATAAAGACATACTTTCAAATGTTCTAAAAGTCACTATTTAAGATATGTTTGCAAAAAGGTAGTGTAAGGATTAAGGATCAAAAGCAAAAACCTGAGCACCTTGATTTAATCACTTGTATATTTACTGGAATGTGCTTTTTTTTTTTTTTTTAAAGCTTTCAGCTTTTTCTTACACAGCATAGATGTTGACAAAAACCCTGTTTTCCATCTGTATATAAGTCAACTTATAAACAAAATCTGAAAAAAAAATGTTTGTTCTGGAATGTTTTAAAAAATGGTACAAGTTGAGAATTCAAGGCTGTTTATATTGCATCTTAAATACATTTCTGTGTGCTACATATCTTTTTAAGACTACTTTTTTTTTTTTGCCTTGACAACAGTAGTCATTTTATGGTTAGCATAGGTGGGCAATTCTCTTTGCAAATTTGATTTGTTTTAACTATTTTTATTGTTCTCCTTTTCTTATAAAACAGAGACTCATAATATTTCTTGTGCCTTTTTTTGTTTTTGTTTTTGATATGCTTTTCCAAAGTATGTTGCTCAGAACAGTAATTTAATTAGCCCTCAAGAATGAACCTTATAGTCAAATATGTTTTGGAAAATGCTTCATGGAATATGCATTTAGGAGGTTCACAGCATATATTAAAATAAAAAGACTTATGTATGTATTTGAGAAGAATAAAATTTATAAGTTCTCAAGTAAAGGAACATTAAATTTTGCTTTATCAAGCATTTCCTAACGTTTTTTGATCTCAGATTACTCTCCTCTCGCCCATACCTAAGGATGATACTTAAAATATTTAACAGCCAATACATTGGCTCAACTGTCTGTCTCTCATCTGCTCTTTCAGAGCCCAGATCCCTAGGGGGGCTGCAGTTCCCACCATTGACCATGCAAGCATAACTGGAAGCATCTGTTAGCTGGGAAGGGGAGTTTGCAGATGGGCCCTGGGAATTGCTTTCCAGGGTGCAGTGCCTTCTCCAAGGTTACTGTCTCCTCCACTGGGGCTCAGGCTGATTGGCATAGGCACTAACCAATCAGAGCAGGTGCTTCTCTTAGTGCTGAGCAAATTTCTTGAGGACCTCTGCTGTGCCCACCTTCAATCTTTTGGTTGCTGGACTGTGAGGAAATCTAGGAGGTCTCCAAGGGAGAGGCCATGGGGTAAGACTGGCAGAAGTGCTACTTGGAGAACTTAGCGCAGTAACTATTTACCAACTGGTCTGCAGATATTAAATATTTTCACTTCTGTACCCTTGAATCAATGTATCCTGGCTGTTAGTATTACCCATGATGCATGTAGCACTATCTAATTCTAATTTTGTGGGACAACTTTGAACAACTGCTAGTCTGTGCTGTTTTGGGCATGTGGAAATGCATAATTTTTTCTCTCTCTGTTAATTGTTACAATGCCATAATGTTTAAACACGTAGCTCTGCTGGAATTGAGAATTAAATTTTGATTCAGTTGCTGAGCTTTGAAAAATCAAGGGGCAAGAGACAGCATTAAACAATGGTGGCAGACACCTTGAAGGATCTGGACTGGTGATGTTATAATAAAGGGAAAGTATCCAATGACATACTGTAAGCTCTCTGAAAAGAAAGTTACTAATGTATGTCTGAGCTGGTCACTCTGTTGTCATCCTGTCACATTGAGATTTCAGCTAAACACACACACACACACACACACACATACTACACACATACAAATGAGAGTGAGTCCATGTAGAATCCTCATGGAGTCATCCTCATTTGCCCTTGTAGAGTATACTTTTTTAATGTAAACATATTCATTAAATAGCTCAAGGATAAGTTGATAGAAATGATAAGAGACTAATTATTGCCCCCCTCTAGACTGGTTCCTACTTCTCTAGCCTCCATTCCTATTATCCCACTAGGAAAATTAAACCATTCTCTCATCGCCAACAGAGTCCTGCTGACGTCCACCTGTGGCCGGGCAGCATATGCCAGGGAGCCGTATTTGCTCACCCTGTCCTCCTCCCACTACCACCACCCGCCCCCAGTAGGTTTTGGCATCTATTTGTTGGTTCTTGAACTTGTGAGTATTGTTTAGAATAAAGATTAGAAAAAGTTATCTGATGAAAGGAGCTAGAGAAAGGCTAGTGAAATTTTGGAGACAAGCAAGTCTTAGGAAGGAGGGAACGTTGACCTAGGAGTGGGGGAAAAATATGTCAAACACCAAGATCCAACTGAGTGAAGAAAGAAGTCTCAGGTATTTCTTAGAGATCTGGAGGAAATTTCACATCAGCATGAGTTTGAGGGGGGAAAAAGATGAATATGGAAGGAAGATCTAAAGAAATTTGTGGTTTATGGATAAGATCTGTGAAAGTTTTGAATGCTCTTCAAATATTCTTGGCTATCAAACCACTGTTTGTTGGATTGGGATAGAGCGCAGGCTGGTCCAGAAGAAAACCAGTTATATATTTGGGTAACACAAGGTGCCCTCTAGTTCATGATGCTCTGCTCTGATTACTTCCCTTTCCTAAAATCCTACCCATTTTCCATTTTCAAGTGCAATAGTTCTTCAAGAAACTTTACATAATACCCCAATCTTCTCTGATTTGCAAAGTCACCTAAATTCTATAAAGTGTTGACTATTATCTAATTATATATAATTGATTATTTAATTTATAATATAATTAATTAATATAAATACACATACATACACACAAATTTTAGGGGGAAAATGCCCTGGATCTCCTCCAGCCAGATTAAATTATTAATCCCTTAATTGCAGGATCATAAATTATGCAGCTTTCTTGCTCCAGTCCCTGGTCCAGGGTAGCTTCTTAATGCATGGTGATGAGGTTGTTAACACAGACTTCTAGTAGTCTCCATGGCCTGTAGGAATTTATACTTTTATCACTATCAGGAATGAATTAAAATGGTTACATTTTTTATTTCTGTTTAAACCAACTTTAATGTCTAAGCCTTGTTAATTCTTATCTATAGCATTGGACTAAACACATTATAGCCTTATATTTCTGCCTATCAAATAAAGCTGTGAGATTTTTGAGAATGGGGGCAATATGTTGTATCCTGGTACATAGCACAGAGTCTGGTACATTTTAGGAGTTCTACAGATGTAAATGAATGAATGGATGAATTGGGATCTCATATATGTAAAAAGAAGGCTAAGAGGAAATTGTATGTTTCCTTTAAATTGAAACAAACAAAATCAATGGAAAAACTGTGGTATAGAGTAAGTAACACAGGGCTTAGGATCAGAACACCTGGATTCAAATGTTAGCTGGCAATTTATCAGTTGTTTGAATAGGTCACTTAGGTTCTGTCAACTAATTTCTTTAAATACAGATAATATTTCCTCCTGCACATGGTTGTAATGATGATCTAATGAGATTACAATTCTGAAATATGTAATAAACTTTGATAGAGATGGTGATTAAAGTCTATTGATTCAGTCAGAATTAATAAGTTATTAACCAAGGGCTAGATAAAGATGAGAGAATCTCCAAAAAAGATAGGTCAGTGCCAAGAAGTAATGTCTTCCCAACTCCAGGTTGCTTAACACCAGAAAAGGCCACTGAGTAAGGCTGTGAAATTTCCTTATTATTAAGATGTTTTCTTACTCTTAAATAATAGGAAAAGACTGAATGACCTTTGAAGGGACTGACCCACCATATATTCTATGACTCATGAAAGGAAACGCAGTTTGTAGATAAATCAGGAGAACCTGCTTTTCCACTGTGCCAAAGATAAAGCAAAAGTTTGAAAATGTCAAATCTACATAAAAACTCTTTATTTTTGTGGTCAATTCAAGAGACACCCTCATCTCTTAATCTTTTAAGCTTAACCACATTCTTTATGCAGTGTAGGTACATTAAGGAGCAGTAAAGAGATGGAGTTTTAATTTTTACCAGTTCAATTTATTTTTTTTTTAAAGATTTTATTTATTTATTTGAGACAGAGAGAATGAGAGACAGAGAGCATGAGAGGGAGGAGGGTCAGAGGGAGAAGCAGACTCCCTGCCGAGCAGGGAGCCCGATGTGGGACTCGATCCTGGGACTCCAGGATCATGACCTGAGCGGAAGGCAGTTGCTTAACCAACTGAGCCACCCAGGCGCCCCTTACCAGTTCAATTTAAATGCAAATGTTAACCACTCACATGATGCTACTGCGTACATAATTAAGCATCATTATATACTACATGAATCACCTAGAAACTTCCCGAGAGCCATGCTACTATGTAAAGCATGCATTGTACTGACAAGCAGGCAAATGACGTATACTCCTGTCCTCATTAATTCTCCTTTTGAATTATAGGTCAACTGATTATGGAACCACTTATGAGAAGCTGAATGATAAAGTTGGTTTGAAAACAATTCTAAGCTATCTCTACGTGTGTCCCACCAACAAGCGTAAGGTAAGACATGTATATTCAGCATGCTGCTTATTCATGATGTGACTTCTGTCTTGGTGGGCCAACCTCTCTAGCTACATAAAAATCCATTACGGTCAAGCTGGGATTAGAGATGTAAAGACGAGTTGATGATGGAGGTTAAGGTGGTAAAATGTCTGAAACCTCATAATTCTCAGGGCAACAGCTGTGAACGTAGGAGGGTGAGAGGTAGGTATATCATTACCATTTCCGAAAGGCAGCTCCTAGGAATGGGTCTCCTTGAGTGGATGCTGTCTTGTAAAAGCTCGGACTAGTCAGTCACAAGAATCAGAATGAGCCTTGACAAGATGGAGGAAAAGGTGGGGTTTTTATCTGAAGTCTCCCTGTTTTCCCTTGACATGAGTAAATAGATTAACTAGAATTGGGATGAACGTGTCCTCCTGGTGCACATTGGATATCTCATTTATAAGGTTTATTCAGCCTGCACACAAATGTCGGGGTGGAGACACTGCTGGGAGGAACCTTGGAGATCATCATATACTGCACCCTCATTTTATAGATGAGAAAAGTGAAAGGTAATGCTTTGCCTCTTTGCAGAGTTATGGGTGCAGTTGGAACTAGGATTCAGGTCTCTTGGTTGGCAGTCATACTATTTCTGCTGTATTATACTGCTCCTGGTAAGAGGGTTTATTTCCTCTTCAGAGAGAAATATTATTTTCTCAAGGAAGGCAATATTTGCTTTTAAATGAGAAAGACTTGCTTGTCTTAGGAGAAGAGTGTCACTACATCCGTTCTTCAGTTTTTATAAACTTGCATTGTCAGATTCTGAATTCTGACATACAGTTTCTAAGTGTTGTGTGAATTGCATGAAATCACAGTATCCATCAGGAAAAAGTGTTGTTCATTAGTATGTACTAAGTCGTGTTCTTTTACGACAGTAGCAGTGATATCCAGGTTCTCCATTCAGATCTGTCAGTAGTTACTGTTAGTGATCTTGGGTAGGTATTTCATTTTGTTACCTGAACTCTGGGAGGTGGATGAGAACATCTCTGAATGGTCATTCCTTAACTCTGGCTGCACATCCAAAGCACTAGGTGATTCCCAAATGTGCAAGCTTTCATCTCACCCCCCTTGCTCTGGATTAGGGCTCAGGTAACTGTACTTTGAGCAGGCTCCCCAGATGTTTCTCATATGCATCTAGGATTAAGAATTGCTTATGCAAAGTGTAACATTCCCTCTGGCCCTAACATTTCAAGCAGCTGTGCAGAGACTCCGATGTCAGATGGCGTGAGTGAAAACCCGGCTAAACCAGTTAACAAGTGTATAACTATGGTGATTTACTTAATCTCTCCAAGCAGTGTCATCAAATTTAAAATAGGGATCATTATAATTCCTACCTCATGTGAAAAGTTGTAACTGTTATCTGAAATAAGGCATTTCAAGTGTTTAGCACAGAACAGCTAAGGCTCATCAATGTTTTTCTCTTACTTTATTTTTTTTCTCATCTGCCTCCTACTCCTTCTTCATATAGTTATTAGAAGTAATAGTAGTGATTATCCTCCCTAAATAGCAATGTTTAGTAGAACTTTCTGTAATGATAGAAATGTTCCTTTAAGGTGTCTGAAACCTTAGACATTAACCACTTGTGGCTATTGAGTATTTGAAATATAGCTGATATGACTGAAGAACTGGATTTTAAATCTAGTTTAACGATAATTAACTTAAATGCAAATAGCCACCTGTGGCTGATGGGCCCCAGTATTGGACAGAATAGCTCGATAATGTCAACCTCACAAATGTAGAGATACAAGCTGATACATTCCTGCCTTCCCCTTCCTGACTAATTACTGGCCCATCATCAGCAATTACATTTAAACAATTTGACCTGCTGTTTAGAGTCCTAAATGGAAGAGCTGAACTTATACCCTTTAGTTTTATAATGCGATTTAGTTATGTTTGTTAGCTTTGAATCAATTCTTAAATTCCATATTGATTTTTTCCTCTAGTTTCACATTTTCAGTAAATTTCATTTAACAAATCAACAATCTGTAGGTATCATAGGATACAAAGAGAAATAAGTCAGCATTCCACCCTCAAAGGTCCTGTATCCTAGTCATAAATGCAATATGACATTTTTGTCATTGAAAGGTCCTTTGACTCTGCTTCCACCTAACAGATGACTTTGGGTGAGACATTTACATTTTCCCATTTGTAAAGTGATAGATACAAAAACGAAGGAATTTACAGCTGGAAGAGACCTTAAAATTGTTCTTAGAATTGTTCTAAGTTAGTGATAGTCTTTGTTTTATTGATGGTGTTAGAGAGGAATATGATAAAAAAAAAAAAGTAAGATGCCAAATAGTGAATAGTGAGCATAGGATTTTCTGTAGCAACAGAATATGTGACTCCAAGATGGTTTGCAGGAGCAGAGCTTGAAACGTGAGACTCTCAAGTCCAAAAGCAGCTCCTAAGATGGGCAGGAAAGCTTAGAGGGAACACAGCAAGGAGCCCCATCTTCTAACCCATTCACGCCAGGATACCAGCACCAGTGGCCCTGCATACTTAGTCTGTAGTCATCTGCAAGACTTTGAAAAGTCACTGGCCATGGCATTTAGTGAAGATTAAAGCTTGGCAGACCCTATCTCCACAGAAAGAGAAGTCCTTGTCCATGACTATTAGAGAACAGCTTTCTCTGGGCCTTTTGCCTTCCAGAAACAGAGGCGGGCCTGAGCTGTTTAAATCACAGTGTTTATGGGTGAATCTAAGCGGCGGGATCTTTTCTTGTACAGATAAATGAGGCCTTCAGGGTCACTTTCTGAGATGCTGATAGACTTAAGAAATATTGGAGGACGATGAAGGTCTTTACAATGGTGCAAAAATCAATAAAGGTGACATAGCAGTATATTTGTGTATATTTTTTCTACTTATGAGGTGAATTTATCACCATGAAATATGTACTTTCCGCCCCCAAAGGGACTTACTTGAACCAAAGAGATAGTACCTATACAACATTTTAAAGTGTGAGTATATTTGCCCCCAATCAATGAGAGTTTATGTAAAAGAAAAGAAAAGAAAAGAAAGAAAGAAAGAAAGAAAGAAAGAAAGAAAGAAAGAAAGAAAGAAAAAGAAAGAAAGAAAGAAAAAGCAAAAAAGAAGAAGAAAAAAGAAAGAGATATCAGGCTCTCTTAATTATACAGGACAAAGGCACTCAAGTTCACTGCAATTCTCCTAAGACTTGTGCATCCTCCAGTGAAAAGGCAGGCTCCCTTTCTGGGGTTGTATTAATTCTTTTCTGTCCCTAGGGTGCTATCTAGCAAGTTAACATCTTTTGTACCAGATATGTCTCTCTGCTTTTCACATCAGTGGGAGCAACTGGAATAAAACTGACATCAGGGAAACTGCCTTGCCTTCCCAGAAACCTGTTTTGCCTTCACATGCTTATTGCTATTTTTAGCTGCTTGTGAGGACAAGCTCGGTTCTTCAATCAACGTGTTCCCAACAGTGGGCATCATGCCCTGGCTTTGCAGACAGCTTGTTAGGGGCATTACTAGGATCAGAGTCCAGAACAAAACTGGCCCTTCTTTACAGTTTAAATTAATGATCATCCATTGGCTGTTTCTTTGCAAGCCTGCTGTAAATGACAGCAGCTTTCCTTGGATATGTCTGTTACAGTAAAAACTGTAATCTCATTGTAGGTCAGTCTAGGAAATCTTGACTAAGAGACATAGAAAGCCTACTCCCAGGATTATCCTAGCTCATACATACCCTCTTTCAGCAGAGCCCTGCACCTGGCCTCTGATAGATGAGGTAGGCCTCCAAGAACAAGCATAAGTCAATCCTCGCCCCAGAGGAGAGGCAGGGTAGCTATCTGTCACCATGTCTCCAAAGGAGACCACTCCCCAACCCAGTCCATGATAAATCCCAAGGCTCGTTGGCATCAGCAGTGCTTTATTGGCTACATACATACAATCTTCTATGAGAAAGGATGATTTAACGTGCACCTGGAATGAGCAGCTGGGATGTGGAGGATCGTGATGGAAAGAACTAATATAAATGTAACAAAGAAAAACAAAATCAGTGCTGAAATCTTAGTCTCAGTCTTAAATTCTCACTGAGTTTATTTGTATTCTGCCTAAAAAGAAAACTTCTTGATATTATGAGTGTATCTGTCAGCAATACCTTTCCTCTCACCCCCAATCAACCTTAGCTGCTCTCTCTTCACAAGGTGTGCTATAACATCTTCAAGGATTAAAGAATACAAAATCCCAAGTGGAATACACTGGGGGAGAAAAGAAGAAAAAAAGTGTTTTGTTTTTAAACCTGGAGCATCCACTTCATTTCATTGTTACATCCTTGTACCCTCCATGCATTGTGTTCTCAGCAAAGAAGAACCCTAGAGAGTATTTGCTCTTTATATTTCCTGTGCCCCTCCATACCCCAGTTTCTTCTCCTTTCTGTGTTATCACCACTTAATTAATACTATTCCTGCTGAGAGAGCCTTCCAAGACTTTCATCCTATAAATAGGCCCCCAGCTCCTCAGACGCATTGATCATTTTTGCAGGTCCCTCGGTACATGCCAGCATTAAACACTGTTTGCATTTTCTCCAGATGTTTAGGTTTTAATTACCTTACTGTATATGGCACTTTCTAAATAAGCGTTTGATTATTGACTCTTTGCCTCTTCTCTTCATATCCAGGGCATGCTTAATTCCTCTTGTCATTTCCTCGGGAGAGGAAATATATATATATATATTTCATGCAGGTGACTTTTGGGGACAGAAAAAAGGTATTGTTGATAGCAGCTGCCAACTTCTCTTAGGAAAAATATGGAATCATTGAATCAGAACCTAAAAGATGTCAGAGGTATTCAGATTCTGCTTTTTCATTTAACAGATAAGGCACCTGAGTCCTTAGAGTTTAGTGACTTGCCTGAGGTTACAGGCAACTGGTGAAAGAAGAGCTGAGATCATTAGACCTTTAACGTGAACCTCAAATGCCCTCTATTCCACAAAATGTAATCAAT